GTGTGTGTGTGTGTGTGTGTGTGTGTGTACGCTGTTTGATCACACTAAAAGAGAAATGGCTCTTCTCCTATTGCCAGTCTCATAGCTGCAGGCAACCCCACTCGTCACACAAGCATCGAGTGTGTGTGTGTTTGGGGAGAGAGCGAGCCAGAGACGCTGTGTACACAGATTATATGTAGAAAAAAGAGAAACAAACCAATATAAGTGTCCAATAAGATAATATTTATCATAATAAGGGACACATGATGGAAAAAAACTGGAGTTCAAAACACAGAACTCCTAACAACCACCTGCAGCACCTGACAGACACCAAAACTGCCCCCATCAGATAAACAGCACTTATAGCTTTCATCTTTGAGAGAGAGGAGAAAATCAAGCTGCTTCAGATCTGAAAACATCCACAGGTGTTTCTGTCCATCCTTCCACTGTGAGAAGACGACTCAGTGCTATAAAGGAGACGGACACATCAAACAAAGAAGCTGAACGATGGACTGACCACCCCAGAGTCCAGACCTCAACACCACTGAATGTGTTTATTACTTGGGTCGTGAGAAGCAGAAAATGCTAAACCAGCTTCTAAAACTAAATTTTGGAGGTGTGGAAAACATCACAGCAGATTTCTCTGAGAAACTGAAAGTGAGAATAAAAGCTGTAATAAAGGTAAAGAGTGGACACACTAAATACTAAAAATGTTGATTTTATTTTTAGTTGTTTGGGCGTCTGTGTAATTTTCTGTTAAATATGTGTTCTGCCTATTTTCCTGACAGTACTGTAAATAACAAGCAAGCCCGAGCACCCATGCTGCATCTGAATGCTGCTGGTGCACCTGTACTAAAATGCTGGAGCATAATCATGCATGACTCATTGTGCTAAATAGCTACTTGCCTCTTACTGTTGATGGACCACTTTATTTGATTCATGTTATTTAATAGGCAACTTAATTTTCAATTTTACACATTTGAAAAGTCAGTTTGGCCACTAATGCTATTTATTAGCAACTTTAGTAAACAAAAAGCATTAATACAATGTGCTAGTGTGTTTCAGGTGTTAATACATTTAAATATATATATATATATACACACAAACACACACACACACACACACACACATAACATTCTGACCACCTCCTTGTTTCTACACTCATTGTCCATTTTATCAGCTCCACTTACTATATAGGTGCACTTTGTAGTTCTACAGTTACAGACTGTAGTCCATCTGTTTCTCTGCATACTTTGTTAGCCCCCTTTTACCCTGTTCTTCAGTGCTCAGGACCCCCATGGACCCTCACAGAGCAGGTACCGTTTGGGTGGTGGATCATTCTCAGCACTGACGTGGTGGTGGTGTGTTAGTGTGTGTTGTGCTGGTCTGAGTGGATCAGACACAGCAGTGCTGTGGTGCCAAATTACACTGAATAAAACATTAACATACATTTAGGTTAAGGAGGTTTTTTTTCCTTCTCTGATAAAATCACAATCAAAACTTCACCGTCTTACCTTTCCAGTAAGAAGCTCAAAGAGAAGTGCTCCCAAACTCCACCAATCACAAGCTGCCGTCTCTTCAGAAATCCCGCCCACCTCTGGACGATTGACGGACAAAGACGCCAACCGTGAGAGAGAGAGACAGATAACGGTTAAGGACAGGTTTAAAAAATGAAACCTGAAACATTTCGCTGGAAAACCATTTCTCTTTTTCAGTGGCTGTTTCCCACTTCTTAAGAAAGGAATATGTAAATCAAGTGGGCACACGCGCGCGCACACACACTCTCACACTCTCTCTCACACTCACACACACACACACACACACACACACACACACACACACACACACACAAACAAATGAAGAGGAACAGAAGGTCTTGTTTTGTAAAGCAGACGATTTACATAATAAAACGGTCAACTACTACACTCAACACACAGCAAAACCAACTGCAAGGACAGACCTCCATACACCTGACCTTAGCATTCAGACAGCACTGGACAAATGGTTTTCAAACCCAAAATTGCACGAAAAGCACTTTCCCATATCGTTTCCTACTGTCCATGTTAGAAATGGCGCACTGAATGTCTGAAAAAGAATGGATCTGATTCAGTCCCGTAACAAATCTACCCTGAAATAGTCAGAAACTACCCTTTTATTATTCATTTTCCTGTCAAAACACCATTAAGCACAAGTTAATCATTTTTCAGCATCTGGGAAAAAAGCAGAAAATGTATTCAATGGAAAATTACCAGAGGCCTAAACAACCAAATACAATCAATTTCGGTATTTATTGCATCCACACTTTGTCTTCCTTGCTTTTCAAAGAAATCTGCAAGGATATTTTCCAGTTCAGTATCAGAAGTTGGTTGCATTTTGTAGTTGGTGGTCTCAGACATTTGCAGAGTACTGTGTGTGTTTGTTCCTGAGGGGCAGCAGTGTTTGAGCAGTCACAGGAAAACAGCCTTAGTTGTTGTTTTTGATGCAATCATGCTTCTCTGATGCAAATCACCACGTGGGCTCAGGAAAACTTTGACAAAAAGTTGTCAACGCTTTTAAAATGCTGCATCCACAAATCGTATTACGCACTATGTAGACTCTACTATGCACAGTGGAAGCCATATATCAAAATGTGGCTGATCTCTCTGAGCTCCAGCTCATCTAAAATGGACAGCTGCACAGTGGTAATGTGTATTGTGGTCTAATACGTCAACTGTCTCAAATGTTTTTTTGGAAATGGTGGACGTCGTGTTCTCTGGACCAAAGAGACCAAAGAAGAAAAGGACCATGCAGACTGTTACCAGTGTAAAGTTCAAAATCCAGCGTCTGTCATGCTATGAGGTCGTTTTAGTGTATGTGGGCTGAGTAACTTGGAAGATATGTACACATTTTGGAGCAACTTATGCTGCCTTCTAGATGACATCTTTTTAGGGACATCCATGCTTATTTCAATGAAAATGGCAAGCCACATTCGGTACGTTACATCATAGCTGTGTAATCAGAGAGCGCAAACAATAGACTGGCCTGTTCTAACTTTTTTTGGAATTGGTTACAGCCAGTTGCAGTTGAATTTTGGAAAGAGCGTATATTTTCAATAAGAACATAAAGAAACGGATAAAAAATAAAGCTCATAAAATATGTTTGTACTGTTTTCAGCTTAATACAGATCAAACTGCATTCACTAATCACTGCTTTCTGTTTTTATTAGAACGTCACATACTGTCCCACCCTTTTTGGAACTGAGGTTTGTAGATGACTGTATGTCATACAGCGTCAGAAACCACAAAGTCTCGACTCGGTTTAAGGCAAAATGTTCGCAATGCTTATTTGTGAGGTATACGCTTCTGTTAACTGTCAGCTACATTAGCATTGTTGCTCCAGCACAAACCTAAAAAGCTAAAAACTTTAGCCACCAAACATGTCTCAGCTGGCTGACTCCATTTGGGTAAGGGGGGAAAAAATCAGAACTATTCCTTTAAACTACGCTCAATCCCCCAGTGTGTCCTTGGACTTTTTGCTTCTGCACTTTGGAAGTGGAGCTCTCCGAGTCAGCTGAGTTGAAACGCATCCCTCTCTGAAGGTGCAGTCGTCCTTCCTCTGGCCGAAGCTCCGGGCAGAGCGCTTTTCCCCCAGGAGTTGTTTTAGGGGTCCTGGGGGAGAAGAGTTGAGACTGAGACTGACAGGGGGTTCAGCTCCAGCTCCAAGGCTTTAGGGCTTCAGCAGGGGGACCAGATGGCTCACCAGCTCCTCCAGCACAGAGTCAAGTAGAGCCACTGCCTGGAGCTACAGGCCCAGCGTGGTCCACCCTCAGCCGCTCTCTTCCAGCCGGGGTTAGCGTGCTGAGGGTCAGGCTGAAAGCCCCCTGCAGGCCACCGCTGCAACTGAGCAGCGCTGCTTCATGAAAAGACGCTGCAGAGATGTTGTGACAGCGTTATCTAAAGGATCATCGTCAAACAGACTCGCGCTGTACCTGTGTGTGTGTGTGTGTGTGCATGTGTGAGATGGGGGGTGGCTCAGGGTGATGTTGGGCACACACACACACACACACACACACACACACACAAACACACACGCAGAAGTCTCTCAGCAAGGTCGATTGTCATCACAAAGGATTAATGTCTACGAGACTCCAGGGAAGGAAACCATTATACTGCACAACAAACAAGAGGAGACGAGAGAGAGAGAGAGAGAGAGAGAGAGAGAGAGAGAGAGAGAGAGAGAGAGAGAGAGAGAGACTGTGGAGGGAGCAAAAGAGTGAAAAGAAACAAAAGGATACAGAGTTTTATAGCAACTAAAAACAGCAAAAATGAAGTGAAGGCTCTTAAGTCCTTGAACCCTACGCTTATTTTTTAGCTCATGATGAGTTTTATGTCTTCAGCAGGAATTTGTGATTGAAATGTATCAAAAATGCACAAAACTATGTACAAAAAATTACCACCTACAGTAATTAACCCTTAGAAGTGCAGTTATTACTATCATTTTGGGAGTGATGGAGCACACATCACTGCGCAATATCGCTTCACGTCAGTTTCATTCGTGTTTTGTACCGTTTTTTGTTTATGTTTTGATGTTTCCCCGCTGGCCGAAAAGTTCGCCTCAGTTTTGACTGAGACGGCAGTCGGAAGTGACTCCCCCCCGTGGTTCAGAGGCTTTTTGCTTGAGCAATACTGTACTGCAGCTACTGCGTGGGTCCCAGGGCCAGCCCACCTGAGCAACAATACACCTCAATTATGTGGCTTTCTCAAGACCTGAGTGTCACTATGCCGCAGCTACGAGGCTTCCAGGACCAAGCACTTGAGCGCCACTACATCGCAGCTATGTGGCTTCTCGGGCCAGTCACTTGAGCGATGCTGCACCGCAGCAACAGGGCTTCCCAGGTGGCCACTTAAGTGACGCTACACTGCAGCTACATTGCTTCTTGGGCCAATCTCTTGAGTGACGCTACACCGCAGCTACGTGGCCTTGGGCCAGTCACTTGAGCGCTGCTACACTGCAACTATAGGGCTTCCGGGTTGGCCACTTAAGCAACGCTACATTGCAGCTACAAGGCTTCCCAAGTCGGGTGCTCGAGTGATGCTACACCGCAGCTACATGGCCTCTTGGTCCAGTCACTTGAGCGACGCTACACTGCAGCTACAAGTCTTCCTGGCTGGCCACTTTAGCAGTGCTACATCTCAGCTTCAGAGCGTCCTGGCTGGCCACTTAAATGACCACAAGCCTTCATGGGTCAGGTGCTTGAGCTACACCACACGTCAGCCACAAGACTTCCTGGCTGGCCACTTAAATGATGCTACACCACGCCTACAAGGCTTCACGGGTCAGGTGCTTGAGCTACACCGTACTGCAGCTTCAAGGCTTCTAGGGCTGGGTGCTAGAGCCACACTACACCTCAGCTACAGGACTTCCTGGGCTGACCACTTGATCAAAGCTCCATCGCGGCTACAAGGCTTCCTGGGATGGCTTTCTGAGCGACACTACAAAACAGCTACAAGGCCTCCTAGGCTGACAGGGACCTTCGTCCGTGGCAAAGGACCCTTTCCAGACTGCAAGGCTTCCCAGGATGGCCAGCTGAGCGAAACTACACTGCAGCTTTTTTATGTTATTATTTTACGACACTATTTATGTGATGATTAGCCTACATTTACATTGGATTTACATTCTGTACTGACAGGCATTTACAGCTACAGCAAGAATCCATGACCAAATCATCTTCTAACATCATCGAGACTTTGTGTTGCTTAACCTTTTCTCAGTGGTATCTAAATGTTTTCGTCTCCTTTTGTTAATGTCACTACATGGCTATTCCAAATCTGGTCCCGCTCAGTAAAGTAGGGCCTCCTTTGACCTCCATTCATTTTGGGCCAATAAAAGTTCCCTCTAACCTGCCTGTGGTTAGAGCCACTTCAAGTAATTCAACAATCGGTTGTTGAGTAGTTCAGTAATCTTGTCGGGAGTGAGAAGGAGCAAGTTCCCATATTTCGCTCATACATGCAGGCTCGGTGTGGGTGTGTGTGATGCATGTTATCGTAATGACCGCAGCTCTGAGTGTGTGTGATTGAAAGCCATTGCTGCTTGCTGTTCCGTTTAGGTGCCTGAGAGGGAAGTGATGTTCTCCTCAGACAGAGGCGCTGGAGGAACAGGTGAAACGTTTCATTTCCCTAAAGAACCGCTCTATTGTCACTGTGAGGAAGCAGCCAGTGGTGTAAAACACCGCAGGAGAAGTGCCTCAAGACACACACACACACACACACACACACACACACACACACACACACACACACACATATATATACATACACACACAAAAGTTAAAACAAATGTACAAATACTGTTCATTTGCTAAATTTACTTTTGCTAAATATCAAAACCTTAAAAAACAAGACAAAAACACAAAATATGACCTGTGAAAACGTTATATTTTGTCTTTTTTTCTTCCCAGTGTGTTAAACCCAGCAAATAAACAGAAACTGTACATTTATATAAGAAAAAATACATGTTCAGGTAGCTTCCTTGTAGAATGTGTTGACTTACTTTCACTCAGAAAATCAACAAAACGTAATACGACTGGGGGTGTTCAAGCTTTCGTATATGACGGTACAT